CCGGTCCTAAGCCCGGGTAAAGAGGGAAGGTTGGGCATAGGGCTAGCAACCCTACCCCGTAAAACAAATCTAACCGCTAAAGAAACTTCAAAGCACAAACAAAATATAAAAAATGAAAACAAACTTATTCCCCGCTGGAATCGGAGAGGCGAAATGACACCAGTTGGTGAAAGCCTTCGGGAAGCCAACTGGCCGATGTGTCTTCTCTCGATGAAAGCGAAAGTAAACGTGGGGACATGGAATGTCCGCACCATGTTTGAACCCAGTAAGGCAGCCCAGATTGCAAAGGAGATGAGAAGGTATCACATCGAAGTGCTTGGGATTTGCGAAAACAGATGGAATGGGAGTGGACTCTCCAAACTGTCAACTGGAGAATCAACAATCTACTCCGGTCACCCAGACGACAACCACGAGCACACTGAGGGAGTGGCTATCATGATGTCCCCAACAGCATCGAAGGCTCTCATACAGTGGGAACCAATCTCCTCCTGCAGGATCATGACAGCAAGATTCAACTCAAAAGGAAGAAAGGTCACAATCATACAATGCTATGCACCTACAAATAATGCAGAGCAAGAGAAAAAGGAGGATTTCTACAGACAACTTCAATCAACACTGGACAAGACGTCAGTTGGCGATATCAAAATTCTAATGGGCGACATGAATGCCAAACTGGGAGGGGACAACACGGGAAGAGAACTAACCATGGGTCGAGAGGCGCTAGGTGAAATGAATGAGAATGGAGAATTGTTTGCAGAATTCTGCGCATTCAACGGTTTGGTGATTGGAGGCAGTGTGTTCAAGCACAAAGATATCCACAAAGCGACATGGATTTCGCCAGATGGACACACTAAAATCAAATCGACTTCATCTCAATCTCAAGAAAATGGAGACGCAGTCTACTTAACACAAGGTCAAGAAGAGGAGCAGATGTAGGTTCAGACCACTACCTAGTGCAAGGAACCTTCCAAATCAAGTTAAAAGCCTTCAAGGAAGCTGGTGATAGACCTCAATTCAAGTACAACACTCGGAAACTGAAGGATGAAACTACAAAGGAGATCTTCACGGCAGCCATCAAGACAAAATGGGAGACATCGAGCAACATCCCTGAAGAAACCTGTGTGGAAGAACACTGGAAGTCTTTGAAAGAGATGTGGAAAGAAACCTGCACAGCCATATTAGGAAAGAAGAAGAAAGAAGATAAGGAATGGATCTCGGCGGATACCTGGAAGCTGATAGAGGAGGGAGAGGAGGATGGTGAAGCAGAAGCAGAACCAGTGCAAGGATGCTCAACGACAAGAGGAACTGAGCACAATGTATAAAACACTGGATAAAGAAGTGAAGAAGAGTGCACGCAAAGACAAAAGACACTTCTACGACACATTGGCAAGTGAAGCAGAACAGGGTGCTAGTAGGAGAGACCTGACAACATTGTATCAAACAACCAGGTTACTACCTGGGAAGAGATCAACACAGGTGCAACCAGTAAAAGATGATGTCGGAAATTTAATTACAAAAGAAGAGAAACAGAGGAAACGATGGGCCGACCACTTCAAGAAGCTCTTGAATCGACCACCACCTGCACTTCGTCCAGAAATACCACCTACAGCCGCTGAACTACAAGTGAACATAAATCCTCCAACAAAAGTGGAAGTCCTGAACGCCATAAAGCTACTGAAATGTGGGAAAGCAGCAGGACCAGATGGGATCCGCCAGAAGCACTGAGAACAGACGCAGAGACAACAGTGGACATGCTCACACGACTATTGCAGAAGGTGTGGAAGGAAGAGAAGGTACCTGGCTAGTGATTGGAAGAAGGGTTACCTTGTCAAACTACCGAAGAAGGGAGACCTCAGTGTTTGCAAGAACTGGCGAGGAATCACTCTCCTGTCCACCCTAAGCAAAATATTAAGCCGCATCATCCTGGAGAGGCTTAAAGATGCACTGGATTCAAAACTGCGACCGGAACAGGCAGGCTTCAGGAAGTACAAATCATGTGTGGACCAAATTGCAACGCTTCGCATCATCATAGAACAGGGCATAGAATGGCAGTCAATCCTCTACCTCAACCTTATCGACTTTGAGAAGGCCTTTGACAGCGTCGACCGAGAAGTAATTTGGAAACTGCTTCAATACTACGGAGTACCGCAAACCTTTATCCGCCTCATTCAACAACTATATGAAGATGCCACATGACAAGTAATTCACAATGGGAAGCTCAGTGATGCTTTTGAAGTGAGGACAGGAGTGAAACAAGGTTGCCTACTATCCCCCATGATATTCCTGATTGTGGTAGACTGGATCATGCAGCAAACAGTAGGCAGCGAGAGGAGGGAGATACACTGGACGACGGAAAAGAACCTAGAAGACTTGGATTTCGCCGATGACTTGTGCCTGATGTCACACAAACTTGAAGATCTGCAGGCAAAAACTAACAAGTTGATAGAAGAGGCAGCGAAGACGGGACTTCAGGTGAATATAGAGAAGACAGAAGTGATGAAGATACCGCACCACCACCATCAACAACAACAACAACAAACTCCAATCACCGTCAACGGGAGAAACTTAAAGGAAGTAACCTCCTTCACTTATCTAGGAAGCATTGTTTCAACTACAGGCGGGACGGACGAGGACGTCAAAGTCAGAATCGGAAAAGCAAGACAGGCGTTCATTAACCTGAAACCAGTGTGGAGATCTTCTGCACTGCACTCAGCATGCGGAACAAGATACGGATTTTCAACACCAACGTCAAGTCAGTGCTCCTGTATGGTTCAGAGACTTGGCGCGTCACGAAAGGCATTTCCAATAAACTACAGACATTCATCAACAACTGCCTACTCTGGCTCGTTACTGAAGATCAGATGGATTGCCAGAAAGAATAAGCAACAAGGAGCTCTGGGAACGAACCAACCAACAACCTATCACGCAACAAATATGCAGGAAGAAGTGGAGATGGATTGGCCATGCACTGAGAAGGCCGACTGAGGACATCACGCGTCAGGCCAGTTGCTCGAGTGGAATCCCCATGGGAAGCGACGAGTTGGGTGTCCGTGGTGAGGGTGACATGGAGGAGGTCGTGCGAGGAGGAAATGAGAGGTTGTGGGCTGTCGTGGGACCAGGTTCAAAAGATCTCAGAGGACAGAGGTCACTGGAGGCGTGCTAGTGAAGCCCTATGTTCCACTAGGAACCCAAGGGACTAATAATAATAATAATAATAATAAATTACGAAATAAATATCTGAATTTACTAGGTACCTAACTGGTACTGATAAGAAAAGCTACGCGCGTTCAGGTTCGATTTTATGATCTAAAAACTGATCGGACTGCATGAACTAGCACCTTCACACTAACAGGATGCAGAAAGTCACGAAACTGGGATGAAATTTAACTTCATGAATCTAACTCCTGTTTTCGTACATGTGGTATTCGGCGCCACATGACGTCGGCTAACTAGTACAGTAACCAGTGCACCGTTAGCAGACCATATGTACTTTGATGAAAAGTTCTGGCTTCAAAACAGCGACATCCGAATCGATTTCCAGTTCTAATAAACCTAAGTAACGATGATTTCGAGTGCAAATGGACTATCTCGCTTAACCACCTTGTCACTAGCAACGACCACTTGGTACTTTACAAGTAAACCAGGAGGACTAAGATCACTCAATGGTTCGCGAAACCCTCTAAAATTATTAGTTCCTAGTAAAATAAGTCAGAATTCTGTGTAAGAAAAGCTTAACAGTTAGGAGTTTACGACTGCGGATATACATTGTATATTAACCATTCCCATAGGAATAAGAAACAATTGAGCAATGAGGGGAGGTTTAAAGCTAATGCTATGGTTTTCAAGGCTGAAGAATTTAGGACTGAAATCTGTGAGTAGCTTCTCATTTAGCCTACTGAGAAACGGAGTAATACACGCCAAGTCAAAATTAATGGTCGGAAAGATTCGAATTAGGTGCAGTCCAACACCGAACTTCAAATCACACCTGGGTAACAACCTACTAACCACTGTTTAGCACAAGTAACGAGTCGAATTTCAAATGATCTGCATTATTCAAATAGTTACGATTGTTTTTTTCATTTTATGGGTCAATCAGATGTAAACCACGTCAAAACTTGATTTACCGTCGAACCTAATTTTTACGGGTATCTCCTTAGTGAATGACAGTAAGAAGCGTACTGACTGGGAATAAAACACTACTGCATCTTGGTGGTTAGGCACAATTTCCTAGGATCGTCACCTTAACAGTAAAGAGGACGGCGAACTATTTGGCTTTTAATTGATTTGAGTTTTAACATACTCCTGAGACTTGCTATTAGATACGACTGACACCACCGATATGAATTAATGTTTGCTAGACTTCAATTGATAGATTTTGTATCACTAAGTAACAGACGTCAACTGAGTAGTATGAACCCAAGGTGTGAAACAAAGTGTGGTTTAAACCACGCTGGTCATGAAGCTGAAAGCAAGAATTCATACTCACTTTGCGAAAAATTCTCGGCAGCTATTCAGAGATCAGAATTTAACTAGCGTTTTGCTTGATATATATTTTTATTTGATAATAAAGAAGTGATTTGCCAACACATTAGGTACACGTACTTCGGCCTAGTGGGAACGGGAAAATACTCCACATGCAACAAACACTGAACCAATCTCCTTTACCCAGTACAACCAAACTCAGAGTCAAGGGTAGCCATGAGAGGACGACCTTTTGAAGAACAATTTAATTTGGATAAGATACACCAACGTTTCTAGATAGAAAGCCTATAATGGCCTACTACAAAAGTATTGCCAGATGATATGTGTCACTCCGTGAGAAAAGTAGTGTACATTGGATGTGTCAAGACCACAATATTGGATTTCCTTTAAAACAAGTCTTTGCTATCTGTCAAAGCAGTTCTTTAGAAATCTTGTCAATAAGAGGATGAGATCTTATAGAACTCTGTGGAAAGCGCTTGCATTGGATTACTTTCAGTAAATCTGTAATCTAAACTTACAGTGACATTCCTGTACAGTTCTGACATCCGAACTGCAAACCAGGTTAGGGTTTTCTCTTGTGCTAGGCTTGATTTTCCCAAATCTATTGAATCAGGCTAAATAATTTGCAAACAATTGGTGAGTTTAAGGTACACGCACCTCTAATTCGGAAATTTCCCAAAGAAGGTCCCCTTGGAATTCAGATAACTTTTTACCAATGGGAACATCCAAAGTCCCAGTGACTACTGATATCGAGAAAAATATGTCTGCTTACCTGTGTCGCACAGGTTAGGGTTGTTTCGATTAACTTTATCATCCTTTCCTTTATTCCCCAGGTACAGTACACACACTTGAACAATACCGGGGTAAAAGCTTTGAAATTAATGGCGTAAGTTTTGTGACTGCACTGAACTTCATTTCCAGTGTGTTTATATACGGCGCCTTTTTCTTGTTAGTAAGGAAGCAATAGTAAACGTCCTTAATATGGGATAGTTTTGCCTTTTAAAGATTGCAAATTGTGTTGATATTTTCACTAGTTTCTAATCCGAATTAATGTGGCCACCTAAAGGTTTAACAATGGTTATCTGGGTAACAGGTTCAAGTTTTAGATCTAACACTCGTTTAACTAGCTCGTGAAGCCAGGGATGAAAAGGACTGAAATGGTTAGAGTAGGACGAGAATTGGTGTAAAGATAACATAATTAGAGTGGTGTGATCGCAGTTGACTTGTTCAGTCTAGTCCGTGTCCCAACTAGATGAGCGTAAACCGTGGGTCGTCGGTAACCCCCTAGCTTTTTCTTGAAACTATCGAAAGATGAGGCGGAGGCTACCTCTGCTGGCAGTGCATCCTTTTGCCAATAGACTCGAAACAGGAAGTGTCGGCGCATCTCAGATTGTCAATGATCTCGCGGTTTGCACGGTGGTTACCATAGTGGCCACTCTGAAGTATCCCTCTCTTCGAGTTACTTGGGTTATTTAGTTTTTTGTAATCCTAGGTTGTATCACCCCTTAAACTTCGATGGCTAAGAAAGTATAGGCCTGGGCCTTTTACTCTGTCCTCGTATGGTTTTTGGTGCATCCCTACAACGTTTTTTGTGGCCCGCCTCTGAATTTCCTCCTGTGCCTCTTCTCAGGTGTGGTGGAGCAAAGACGTCGCGGACCTCCAAGTTGGGTGGCATATAGGTCTCGTAGAGTTTCATGAAGAGGTTAAGAGATGGGGCACTCAGTTGTCTGCTCTTCCAGTGTGGTGTAGTGCGCGGTTTTGGGTGAGTTCTAGGTGATTGGAAACGTTACCCAGTTGCTCCGTTACCATTAAACCCAGGTCTCCCTCTGTTGCTGCGTTAGAAAGATGTGAACCAGAGACAGAAAGATACCTTCTATGGATCAGAAGTGCAGAAAAGCATGGACTGGAATCGTTCGGTAACAGTTTGAGTTCTGTCCATCTCATTTTTTGAAGATATGAGAGAAAATGGGGCGTTTCCAATCACGTATGTGTCTTTGTGCATCTAAGGAGCGTTGGAAAATATTGCAGTGGGCCACTTAGGTCACTAGCATACTGTTTCAACACAGATGGGAGAATACAGTCAGCAATAATAATAATAATAATAATATACATTTCATACAACACAGGTTACATGAATACAAACCAGTCTACAGGTTTGATCACTTTTGTAATAAGAAATGACTATTATGTACAATGTTAGGCTACACATTAAATATCGTTATTCATGGCATATAAGAGGTGTGTTGAAGCAGGCTCAGTTCGAAATTGGGAATTATTCGCTTATTGTTTGAATCTTCCAATATTCTTGAGGGTGGGGCAGGCAGCACAGTCATGACCTTGGGGTGTGAGCGTTCGTCATAAGGTTTTGATGGCAAGGTGCACACTGACGAATGTGATATCTAGGATTCCATTTGAATGTAGGACTGGTTGGGTAAACCTGAAAAGTGAATAACAAAAGCAAGCAGCAGGCGGCATTCGAAACAGGAACACGAAAATTCGCAGGAGTAGATCAACCATGATACATCTGGGTGATTTCTTTGTACTGATTACAAAACTTACTTGAAGAAGTATCCAAAGCCAGCTGTCAAGAGGTAAGCTTAAGTGGAAGAAGATGAAGGTGCGCACGACCGTAATGGAGATTAGTCTGAAGCCGATGTTGCTACGAAATAGAGAGATTAGAGGATTTTGGACCAGGTATTCACTTGTTATATACCTATGTACAAAAGTTTGATGTAGTTATAAAAATTTAAGTGAAATTCATGGTTTTTTCTAAGATGGTAACCACCCTTTATCTAGTCACAGGGGAGGGATGATCATGGCGTTGCCATATCAGGGCTACCGAAACAATATGATGGTGCAGGGTACTCACATGTAAGTACTGACAACAAAGGGCAAATAATAAAACATGTTACAAGCCATGAAAATGCACCGATAAACAGTTCATTTATCAATCAGGAGTAAAGAGATCATTTCAAGGGACGAATTTTAGGAAATAGGTGTTAAGTCGTGAGATCAGTTAGGTTATGAAGAAATGTAGGTTACATTAGAGTAGCTACTGAGTTCACTGTTGCAAATCGTATCGCACTCCACTTCCTGTTAACTCATTTCCAGTTTTCTTTTTTAGAAATGCGTTTAGTTTTCGCCATTTTATACTTTTGTCATTGCTGTTAGTCTGTCTTGAGTCTAGGTGCCGGTAGCACCATTGTACATGGTATTACCGTTTGTGGTTTGGGCGTCAACGAATTGATGAGAATCGTTAGATGGGGAGGAACTCACTAAGTAATCGTTGAAACTGGCCGAGAGATAGACATGCTCGAATAGGAGCAGGAAGCTTGTTCCACAGCATACTGTATTGCGTTATGAAGAACCTACATCGAAGTTTTAAGCGATACTTATTTATCGGGATGGTGTACTCACTATTACGCAGATTATATGCCTGTGTTGATCTCAAAGTGATAGCACATTTCGTTTTAGAGTTTCTAAATAAAAGGCGAAAAAGAAAGGTTAGGTTGAGCTTCAGGCGTCTCAACCAGAGTGATTCTACTTTTTTGCGTCTTGCTTTGTATGCAAGTCCTTCGTTATTTATCAATAGGCGCTGAGTAAAGTTTCACTGAATGTCCTCTTGTAGCATCACACACTTCCCCAAAATCAGTAGCCTAAAATTTGACGACATTCAACATTGATGCTGACCTTGATAGTTTAACTGGACTCGCCAAGCTGAAGGCACCCAGTCAAGCATCCTCGCTATTTGGCAGGCCGTCGTGTTACGTTGCACTGCTGGTATCCGACTCTCTAGCCAGTTAGTTGGAACGCATCGGTATTTTGGCACAACCATCCAAATATACCACTCCATCCGACTACGCTATCGTGTTCTTCCTTGGTCTCGTATTCGTGGGTATATAACAAGTCCGAATAATTAGTGGTTGGTCTTTGCATCTATCAAGTTCGCACCAGGACAAATCCTTAACTTTACTTGAATTTTGTCCAATACTTTGGTGTTACCATAGATAACCGTGCAATACTCTAATATTGGGCGAACCATAGCCTTGTACATTATAAGTTTCGCCTCAGGTGTGAGTATGTTTCTGTGTAGAAGAACAATGAGTCTTCTGCTTTTGGAAACTATTGAATCTGCATACTCCGTAAAAGTCAAACTTCTGGAGTAGGTGATTCCGAGGTCTTTCATAGTTTTGTATATCTGCAGTGCGATGTCACCCAAGTGTAGTGTTACTTCTGGGTAGGATTTGTTGAAATGGAGGATACCACTTTTATTTGGGTTTAGAAGGGGCTGCCAGGTCTTGCTCCATGTGAATATTCTCTTCAAATCTTCTCGTATTTGGGAGAAACCTTGTGTTAGTGCTATACCAGAAAAGCTGTAGACTATCTTCAAGTCGTCAGCGAAAAGGTAGGGTATGCCACTTCGGATGACACTGCAGATATCGTTTACATAGATCAGGAAAAGTATCAGTCCTGGCACACTACCCTGGACGATACCACTTAGTATAGGTCTAGGGGAGGAGTAGCAATTACTGAGTTTTACTACTTAGAAGCGACCCTCTGAAAACGTTGTAAGCCAGGACATGAATGGGTCTTGGAAACCATATGATTGCAACTTAGTGACCCTCAGGATTTTCCTGCACTTAACTTTGGAAGCTTATCAAGAACAACAGCAGGAGTCATCTGTACTTCGCGTAACTTCGCCGCGTTGGGTGACTTTGAGGGCTGTTCAGGTTGTAGGTGTTCGTGCCTGCGTCACAGGTTATTAAGGTGGGTATCAAGGCGGTACCTAAAATTCAAGCGGTCTTCCATACAGTTAGGTTTCCTCCTTTCAAACCTTTGGTGACGCATGCCCCTTGGTCTGGAAATTTTCCCTTTGCCATGAATCGGTGTGTGCTTTTGGAGGTCACCTCCATCTTCTGGACGACACTGAACTTGAACGACCTCCTGTCTCCCGACAACCTGGTGTTGCTTTGACTTCGCAGAGCTGTGTATAAGCCTCGATCATCCATTTATGCCATGCTTTCCTCTTGACTTTTAGGAGACGCTCAATGCCTGTTACCACCAAGGGGACGTTTTCAGAAGTTGGTGCCCTAATGGTGCCTCTCTCTAGTTCCGAGTCTTAGTCAACCGGCGAGGAGCATCAATCTCTTGACTATGGAGCTATCGACAAACATTGGTTCATTCCCTCGTATATTTTATAGCTGTAGCAGTGGCAGGCGCGAGGTCCCCCCTACTGTGGTTAATAGCTGATTACCAGGTTGAACACTACTATGGTATGGTCACTGCTTCCGAGAGGAGTTCGGGCCTGGAATTTTTCGGCAAAGGGATGGTCGCTAGTCAGCAGGTACTCCAGTTAAGATGGTTCGCCGCCTGACTCCTGGCGAGTGTCGTCGCTAACCTTTACGCGCAGCCCAACCATTCGGATGACGTTAAGCAGGTTATGATGAAACTCCCAGGTTGCAGTCGTGGTGCCTTTTTCTAGGCTGAGAGTTGGGGAGCTGAAGTCACCATATATTAGGACCCGGTCATGCCGCAGAGTCGGCAGCGTGAATGTCACTCCGAATAATCTTTGGTCGTGTTTCACCCCGCTCTTGGGGACCCACAGACTCCCTAACCAAACAAGTAGTGTCCGACCGTGAAATGGCAACAGCTCGAGTCTGGGAGCAGTATCAAGATGTTTGTTCGTTTTTGAACCAACTGTTCACACACATTGCAACCGTCCTCTGTGCTTGTGTCCCCCGTC